TTAAAACTTTAACAGTTAATTAATTTCCCATTAGTTAAATTAACTGTAGAATAAATTAAATTTATTATACAATTTAATTTACTTAGTATTTGAAATGAAAAAAGTGTTATGTTTTGTAGCTTATTATATAAGTATAAGGTTATTTTACGCTTAAAGTCATTGCTCACCGCATAAACTGTGAAAACCGGAAAAAAACGTATAGAAAAAACCGACAAATATTTACGGAGCTTCTCAGCATTACTGATTTTATTATTTTAAATTGGATTTACAACCAATTTTCATAGTAATTGGGAATACTAGAGAAAAAACGAGAGGAAATACGAGTAAGTTTATGGCATTTCGTTTTTTTTATTATGGTTCTTTTTTTTTTTTTGTAATTCAGTTAAAACTATCGCAGAAAGCTGCAATTTTTACCGAATACTTATATTAGCATTTTGTGTGATAGACTGTCGAATCTCTTTTAGTTTTTCTTTGATAGGTACATATATAGTGCTTAAAATTATCTGATCAAATAAAAATGTTTAAACATTTAACACAAGGTTCATTATAAGTTATGTTTATGTTAGTAAAAAAAAGTTGTGTTTTTTTTACAATTTTTTTTATGATCAAATTTATAAAAAAATCTTAATAAACATTTCAAAACATGTAAACCTAACTGAACTTCACTCAGAATAGTGTTTTGTTAGCAATGATTTATCGATACTTACAGAATATATAAATTAAATTAATTTATGTATCCTACCTTTCAATTTTTTTTGGATTGAGAATGTGTAGCGAAGAATTAGTTACCTATATTAGTACCTGACTAAAGTAACAAAACTGTTTTAGTAAAATGTTTGTTTCCTTCAAATTTTTCGGTTAGTAAAAATGTCCAATAATACGTTTCATTCAATGTACGTGAAAATATGAAGAATTTTCGCTCGTTGTTACATAATTGAAACATTTTTCTAAGTTCTCAATAGTCTCCATATTTTCTCTTTCGAAAAATGCTTTATTGTTTGAATGATTCTTCAAATAATGTTTATCGTGTGTGAAATAATGTCTGTTTTTTTATTTTTGTTCTGGAGAAGCGGTACGCACTCAATAAAATATATTTTCCGTTTATAACTAATGTATACAATTTAATCGCGTAGAACAATAATTTATCTACGATTATAGTACAATAATATATTTGCTGAACACCAAATAAAATTATATTGTGAAATAATTTAAATAATTATATAATATAAAGAAAACAATCGTCTCGTTTCATTTAACACGGTGCATAAAAACGGTGAATTATTATTGAAAGTATGAAAGTGATCAAGAATAAATGTTATTTCATTAAAAAGTCGATTCTACAGGGCGTCTCATGAAGGTATATCCATTTCTGTATCTAAAATCACGAATTTAATGAAAATAAAAGTTGATACGTCAACATTTTCAGAAAAATTTACTACATTGATTTGGTTGCCTTCATATTTTTCAAAAAAAATGAAATAAAAAAATAATTTGTTTTGTTTTTTTACCAAAACATAAATATTTAATTCAAATGTAATTATTTGTAGTTTTAATCCTTGTGAGTAATATAATAAACAGAATTTGATTACTTTTATTATTTACGGAGATATTACAATGGGTATATGTTTATGGGACACACTTTATAGAACACGCGGAGTTAAATTCGTAGAACGTTTGTTCGAACTTGGTCTCTCCGGGTTTTTTTTCCATATCAGCAGGACGCAATGGACTGAGAAGTTTGAGAAAATGACCTCTCTTATAAAGTATTTGTAGGTAGGTACCGTTTGTGTGTTAAATTGTCTATAATCTATATAATGTCACTACATATGTAACTTTTTGAGAATTGTTCATGCTTGTTATTTGTGCAGAAAATAAATAAATAAAAAATGTTACCCCAAAATGAAAAAGAAAGGCAGAAAACAAAACACGTTCACCGTTTGTTTAAAAAATCAATAAGATACTTATATACCTATTATATTCGTCGCTTCACTCAGATTTAAACAAAAAAAAAGTTATCAGGTGTGATGTGTTTAAAAAAGTTTTCAATACGACAGTCGACAATGTTGTCGTATATTATAAAATAACAAAAGTCAAAAATACTTTTGGAAATACTAAATTTGGTTTTTAAGTCCACAAGTTGAACAAAACTAAAAGGTTATTTCGGTATACTTAATGTGTTTTTTTTTCGCGTTCAAAGACAAGTTTTGAACAGATCAATTTTCGCCGTTATTCGTTTCTTTCTTTTTTTATTCGAAAATAAATTTTGAAAAATTACAATTTCCGACTTATATTTTATAATATAATTTATCAATTTTTCAATTTTTTTTATTTTTCGTTTTATAAATTATTTAAAAAAAATACGGACAATACCATTAAAATAATAAATTATTATTTCTTCAGTTATATAAAGTTCTAGAGTTTAAGAATTATCAAATTTTCTGATTTTTGTAGTATTTAGTTACATAATCAAAAATCTAAGTCCAACACACCCTGTATAGACGGGTCCACCTCCCTGGTCATGGCTGGTGAAGTATGGTAATTTAGATAAAATTATATTTTTATATATCAATAATAATATATAATTTAGATTTATTACGATTTATACGCTGAATCGGGGTCTCGGGGGGCCAGTCTGGAAATGGACATTTTTTAGATAGCCTGAACCGTATTATGGTCTGGTTGCCTGGCTCTTTGTGTGTAATATTTTACTTACTTATATTATTTAAAACTCAATGAAAAGGTGTAACAAGACACATAATATGTCAATGGCTATTCATTTTTTTATATATACATTTTCGTTTAAATTAATAAATTGAAATGTATACATTGATGAGATGATTTTTTTAAATTTTTGCGAGGTAAAAGTCGGAGCCCCCTCTTATTTTCACCTATGTCTCAAGTTTAATAATTATTTAGCTCCCCTCAGTTCAAAATTCTGACTACACCACTGGTTCAAATTAAAACGGGAGAAAAATACTTCGTACGTATTTTATTGGGTGACCTGGATATATTTTAATTCCCTGGTCTAAATTTGGTTCCCACTTCGCCCCTGTTTTTACATAGCATGAGAATTTTTTTTGTAAGTTTTAAGAAAAACACAAATCGTGTTCATATAAAAATGGAAACTGATTAAATTTTTTGACTTGTTAATTATATACATTTTAAAAAAAATTGTCAATTATCTATACAAATCTTCACGAGCAAGACCCTTAAAGAACCTTATACCTATATTTATTAGACTCATCTGAAAATTTCCTTTTTGTCTCTTCATACGAAAAGAGTGAAAATCGTAACCAAACGGTAACTATACTTGGTTATGTTGTGCAAGGTTAAAAGTTTTTAAAAGTCTCCCGTTTTCCTACACCCAACAGTTGTAAGGAATTCCACGTGAAACTTACGAAAAAGTTTACATCAAAAACTTTGAATGGTCGCACAAAAAAAATGAATTTGTGTAAAAAAATGTTTGGTTACTTTTTAAAGACTTATATTATTATATAAACTTAAAAACCTAATCTTACATAGTTATGTACTTATATTCATAATTTTTTATTCTAAAATTAAAATGATAGAAAGATTAAAAATTATAAATTAAAAGATTAATCACGAGATCAAAAAAGTTATGAGCACTTGAACATTTTTCGTTCCTACACATTTTTCAATGTTTATAATATATAGATAAACCTTATTTGTATAGAAGATTATAAATTACAACGTATATACACATAATATTAATTACCTTCTAAAAAAAGAATATTCAAAAACTATAGAAAAGTTGTTTATTCTATCGGAGTAATAGATACTCACGAAATTGTATTAAAAGACGGACATACTTTGCACGATAGGTGGGCCACTATTGTAGGTGAGAAGTTGGGAAGGTAAGATATAGAGGGGAATTTAATGTACATCTGTACGCAATGATTGAACATTACTAATAAAAAACGATTCTGATTGGAGTTCGGTTATATATGTTTTAAATGGCCGTAATATTTGAGGCCGAGTATTCTAGTAACTATCTATATATTATTCATCCGCTTATTCGTTTTTATGTTTTCTAAGTTGTCAGTTTGCGAAACGAACCTAAAAGTATAGCCTACGTAAATTACCCAGTTCACTCACCAATATTTTCAAATAATCCCATTATTTTCACTTATTATTTAAAAATTACTAAAAACAAATTTAGCTTACCTAACCTTGCCGTAATTATTTTTAATAGACAACCTAACCTAATCTCAACTATTTTTTTTTTTTTTTATAGTAAACGTGTATTAATGTTAAATTATTTTCACATTAATAGTACTCACACTTCAATAAAATCGAAAAGCGACCGCTTCTCAAAGACCGCGTTTGTTTCGTTTTTTATATATTATATTGTAAATATTTTTTTTTCTCGGCGTATAAAAACGTCGTGTACATAATTAATAATTTTAAGATTCGTATAATATTGTACTCGGTGTTTTTCGCACTTTCTCACGATAAACCTACTATGAATTCTTGTTGTGGTTATAAATAAAGAAAGAAACGGCCTTCTATAATAACGGTGTGAAAAATAATTATAATTTATATTCCCATGTCTTTAATATTTTACTCGCCGCATAGTACCTAATAAACAAATGTTATCAATTTTAGACTACAGTGAAACTCTTGTGTGTCGGGGTATATTTAATGTATGACCGTTGTTCGGCCTGCATTTTATATTAATAATATGATATAATATCACTCAGCCTCCCACAGCCTTTGAATATAATTATTTCATTTATAGATCGTACTGTGCACCCGTATCTATATAAAAAAAAAAAATAATAATAATAAAAAAAAAATATTTGTAACGCGTGTATATTATACACGTTATATTGAAACTGATTATTGATCCGTGTGAACGTTGTCGTCGTCATAGTCGATGTGATTTGATATAAGTATGAAGTAAAAAAAATAACTCTGCACAAATAGTTTCTTTTGATTTACATAATATTATAATTATATTATATATTCAAAATAATTCAATGCGTGTAAAATACAATATTGAAATTAATTATTAATTATATATTATTATAAAAATACTGTAGCTGTAACATTATATTATATTATTATTAATTATTTTATTATCGATAATATATTATACGTTTAAATACTTAAATATTGTCCTTAAAACTATTTGTTGTTGGCTGTTTTTTTTTTTTTTTTTTTTTACATTTAAAAACGTATACCTACGGTTGTGGTCCAATATTATGTGACCTACCGTCGATATTTTAACCCACTATAGTCGTGGCCTACTAATACGATTATTTTATACGGGTCTAATGAAATTTCTAACGATCAAGCCCTTAAGATTAACCAATCAATGTAAATCAACAGTTATAAATTGGTGTAATTTATTCAGAGATATTATGGAAAAATGTAACCAAAGCAAACAAATTGGTAGAATATCTGTCATAGTTGATTTCGATGAATCCCTATTTCAGGGTAAAAGAAGATACCGAAGTTGGAACATAAAACCACTTTAACAAGATACATATAGTGATTAAAGTGACAGATAAACTATGAGGAAAATGGTAATAAAAATTTTGGGTTTTCAGTATATATTGGAAATGTATCAAAATAAGGATAAAATTTTTGAAGAATTTCTTCAAGACCTTATGAATCGAATTTTTTTTTTATAACAAGGTAGGTCACATATTTAATTTAAATTTCAATGGTATGTTACACACATTGAGCCACAAACAAAATATTCTGTCTGCTTAAAATCACAAGGTTTAATATTTTTTTCACGAAAGCATATTTATCGTATTTCTGTAGGTTGTAGGTAGATTCGACTTTACCGATACCTATTTGAGCCCTGAATATCTTGATGATTCATTACTAATAATTCTACTGTACGTTTAAAAAATGTTTCCCGAATTACTTATATAAGTACTTATTAAAATTCAGAAAAAAGTAAAATTAAAAAAAAACAAATCTTAAAGAACCTTCTGGTTTTAAGCCGACGAATTTTCTCGTTATATTATCATAATATCATCAGTCATATCAATATAAAATTATTACCATATGGCTATATATTAAGGGGAAAATTATACTATTGTTATCATTATAAAATAATTTTCCTAACTTGTAGTAAAATATTTTTATTGACCACGTGTTTTTACACGAAAAAAAAAAGCGACATAAATAATTGTATTAGTTATAGGTATATGTTTGCAGGTACCTTTAACTTCTTAAATAGCGGTTTTATTGACCAAAAAAAAAAAAAAATATTAAAAAAAAACGTTCGGGAGTTAGTTGAAGTTGTTGATGACGTACTGATACGATGGCTGATACGCCGTCTGACAAACGGTCAAAATTGCGGGTTTAGCAGCCGGATTCGGTTGTAGTTCGTGGTACCTAGCGTGGTGATGATAGTACTGCTCTTGGTCCTGCACCCAAGAACCGGAAGCAGTTGCGGACGTGGACGGATATTGTCTAAGGTACTGGTCCAGTTCGGAAGTGTCCACCAGATTTATACCGTCCACGGCCGGCAGATCGTCCATACGGCCAAAGTCGAGACTGTAATCGATAACCGCTTCGTCTAGGTGCACAATAATATATTAAATAACACAATATTTTCGTAACGAACGAAAATCAAATTAAATATATACAGTGGTGATGATGGGTGTGCGTTACATCACCATTATCTATTGTTGTCTTTGTTTTTAAATCAAAGTACAGAATGACTCGGAGATTTTTTTTGTGCTCATAACTCGATTCTAGGCCGTGCTATTGCTTTTTTTTTTTTAATCTAAAAACTGTGTTAAACGGCCAAAAAAATTTGATCGTAAATCCTTTTTTTATTTTTTGGATTAATTTCAACAGAATGTGTCAATATTATAAAAATAAAGTGTTTCAGCGTATACTTTAACGGAACTGTAAAGTATAAATTATTTACCAACAAAAGTATAATATAATTCTTTTGAAAAATAATACGGATGGCAACCTTGGATATGTAGTAGGTGTGCTTAATACTGATCAATATAAAATGGCCGTGAATTACGTCCAATAACAGGGAAAACGTAACGCAGAGGTATTATTGATTTTGTAAACGCAATCGCGAGGAAAATTATAATAATTTGCAGATATTTTTAATTTGTATGGTAGTTAGTAAAGAATTTTTAAAGTAAACGAATTAAACGACGTCCAACGCGTAGAGAGAGAGGTAGAGAGAGAGAGAGAGAGAGCAAACAACACTGTAGAAAAATAATAAAGGCAACGATTTACTGCATGGGAATCCGACCGGGATGAGACCGAGATACAGACACCCTGTTATAGGAAGCGACAGGGAGATAACAGTAAAATAAGACACGGATTGGCGGTTATAGAGGTAAACCGAATCGAGAAGAATACAATATACTCAGGATATTCGAGCGTTTCAGATATTATTATATTATAATCTTTTAATCGTCTGGAATTTATTCCATACACGTTTTACAGATACGAGAGTGTTTTAACGGCTTCGGCGGTGGTTGTAATAAATAACAATATTATGACGTATGCTTACTGTAATTATTACTGTACGGCGAGTAACAGCAAGCGTGTTTCGGTTTGGCCTGGTAATAGTTGGGTGTAGTAGGAGGAGTCAACGGTCCCGGCGGCGAACCGGATGGACTGCTACTGGTCGACGAGCTGGCGGTTATCATTTCTTGTTTGATCGAACGACCATTACTGACGTTGTTACTATTGTACAAACCCGTACCGAATATTTGTATTATTTTACATCGTTACATTTTATTATAGATAATTACAAAAAAAAAAAAAAATCTGTTTTATTATAAGTAGGCATATATCGTACTTGTATTAATACTTATATATGTATATGAGTTTTAAAAAAATTGACCTAAGTTAGATTGCGGTGATGCGGCTAGAATTCGTTTTCGGGGGATTATTATGATATTTGAACAATTTTCTGGACGGGATTCCGAGGTACAAACTAAGAACTAAACATAAGTAACGTGCACGACGCACAAGTATTTAAAATTACAAGGGAAAGTCAGGAATAATATTACAATATAAATTACGCAACTATTATACGTATTATATGTATTACGTGTAGGATTCGTAAAATAAATTTGAAATTTCGACGGGAGTTATGACCTGCCGCCCCCCTGGCTGTACCACAGAACAAAAAAAAAAAAAACTATAGGTAATTAACCTGTAATAGATCAAATGTACCAAAATGTTTAATATTCGATTATAAAATTATCCGTGAAAAGTGAAAATTCTATGAATAAATCGATTGATAAAACGAAATAAATTCGCATAGTATAAATTACATTATACGATTCAATATGTCTGGGCTATATTTTATTGTTTTATATTTGCAGTTTTATTCTATGGAACATAAATTTTGTTTATATGATCATTTTGTTTGTTACCTGTTACAGTTTGGCGTCGAATTATCGTGTTTTACATGCTGTTGATATTGATGATCGTTATTCTGTTCGGATGATTTGTCCGGCTGCTGTTGCTGCGATTTTTCTTGAATCGCCTTCGGCACGCCTTTGGCCGCCTTACGCCTGCGGGGTTGGTATTTATAGTCGGGATATGTTTTCTTGTGGGTCACTCTCAACTTCTCGGCCTCTTCCATAAACGGTTTTTTATCGTTATCGCTCAGTAGTCTGTAAAATATTAGGAGTAAAAAACCGTTAGCATTATAAAAACTGTTTATTTACTATAATCATTATATGTTTAACAAAATATTATATAGAGCTTTATAGAAGTAGTGAAATAATTGAAAAAAAAAATATATTATTATCAATATAATACATCATACAATGATGTTTATTTATTTATTTTTATTTTATCTGTGAACAACTTTTCTACCAGAAATTTCGCTCCGATTTTCGAGTAATCTCTTTTCCAAAAGGAAGTCCGACTGGGATGGTACTTTAATGATGTAATTTGTTTGATTTTCCTAAGAGTTTTTCCAATAAATGGAAAAACGTAGGCAATTTGGGAAAATATACGAAATGTATTATTTTCAAATCGTAAATATTATGGTCTTTCAAAACATGTACAACCAAACTTCGTTCAGAATCGTTTTTCATTAGCAATAGTTAATCTTTGCGTATAGATATATATTCGATTTCCCCTCTACCTTCCCAGATTTTCCCCTATAACAGTGGTTCACCCACCGTGCGGCGTATGTCCGTTTGTTTTTTTTTTGTTATTCACTTTTCGGCACCTGTTGTCAGTCAGCCGTACAGCCGACGACGGGGAAGACAAACGTATTTCTGGTGTTGTTTTTATTTTTTAATATTTGACATATACCTAAAGGGTTAACGCATTTCGGGGTTGAAAATAAACGGACAATTAAACGTACGTCCGATTTACTACGTCCCTGCTACTGCTGCTGCTGCAGATGCTCATACGTGCCAGCATCATATCCGTCGTCCCTAGACACTCCTTGTGTTATGTCATATACATAGATATAATATTACCATGATATTCTGAGAGAGACTAATTAAACGCGGGAGTGTCTCTCTGCGGAGTGTGCATACGCGACCTTTCCCATTTTAATATGAATATTTTACGCTTCACTACAGAATAGAGAAGTTAAAATATATATATATATATGTGTACATATATATTTAAAGAAAAAAAAAATGTTAAAAAAAAAACCGGAGATATTATAACGACGACGATGATCATGATGATGATGATAATGATGAAAAGTTGATATACGCGTTCTATAATATTATATTAATACCATAATAAATATATAGGTGAATGACTGAACTTAACGTTTTTATAATATATTGTTATTTTTAATTATAATATTATATATGTGAATTTTTATTTTTTTCCCTGGAAAAGTATTTACCGTAAAAAACAAAAACCCGAAAGTAATAAAAAATTCGTATACGCGTATATAGTTCCTGGTAATACCTATCTACCTGATTTTAAATAAAACAAAACTACAGAACTCTGCGAAGTTTAACGCTGCAAAAACTTCAATCTCATAAATATATAGGATTTTTTTTTCGTTTTCCGCGTGTCTACAGGGACCCGCAGCAGTTTTTCGACACCTCTATAATTCATCGTTCGTTTATTTCATATTATAGGTACTATACGAATACGACATAATAGTTTAGACACATATATAGATAAAAAATATTGCAAACATTTTAAAATTCGATAGGGGAATATAGGTGACAAAAAACCTGAATATTAGTATTTATTATAGTATAAGTAATATAATGTACTCTTATAATTAAATTATGTGCAAATGATATCAGTTTTTTTCATAAAGTTTAGTGAAATATTTTCGTATAGTGTGCCAGTGCTAAACTTTTTTTTTCTTCAATATAGCTTTAATTATTTATTAACGTTAAGTTGTGTGGTTAGCATATTATAGAAATACTTATATGTAGGTAATATTTATTCTTTTTGTGTAATTACTTTTTAAACATTTTTTTTTTTTTAAGTGTGATCAATATTTTAAAACTCTTAATTTCAAATTCGTATAAAACTTTTTAACTTTCTTTTAATTTTCGAATTGCGTACGCTTTAATTTAAATAGGTACCACCCAACTACTTAGCAATTAATTTAAATAATGTTGTTTACAAAACAAGAAATATATATATATATATATATATATGTATATTAAAAACTATTCAACAAGAATGATTATAATATTATTCTATTTGTGATAATTATGTTAAAATATTATAAAAAATTGCAGAATAAGTATTGGTATTTAAAAATAATGTGAATCGACAGTAATAATGATATGATCAATGCGTGTATAAAAAGGAAAACGTTAATAATAATTGTAGTCATTTTTGAACACGAAAAGTCAATGTTGGACATTTTTGATTTATATGTACATATCATAGGAAAAATTTCACGTCCGATCCCATGGTATTATCTGTTACCAATTTATTATATCACGTGGTTAGAGATAAATCACACCTCGGGTAATGAGACAGAAACAACTCATAACATCTCGGTGTAGCTAATAATATAATATACAATGTTTTAATCTTTCTTCCGGAAGATATATGGTGTGAGTAGTTTTGTCAGAGGGGATGAAGCCGATTGTTAACATTCTTTTTTTTTCACAATTAATAATATTAATATAAATAACACCATACTGTACATTATTATACATTTTAAGTAAAAAAAACTATCACTGGGCGAGATACATTCTCCTCGCCCGTAGTTATCAAGACGATGTTACAGATGGCACTAATCATGATTTCAAAATCGTATGGACGATATTAGTAACAAGTGAAAATTTAATAAAAGTAAAAAGGAGATGTCATATTGTTGTTATTAGTTGTATACGCTGTTAGAGACAATCCATTAAAACAATTGATGCAAACTGATGGTCTCCAGAAACATTTTAAAAATAATATACATAATATTTGTCTCTAAACAGGATTTAATTTTTAATTTTTTTTTGTAATATTTTTTGTAGGTATTTTCGGAAAAGTAGATGTTTTTGTTTTTCTCGTGAATTCCGTGCAAATTAATAGGCATTAGAAAATTAAAAATAATAATAATAAATATTCGTATAAAAAAAAATTCGAAATATTTCGCACCTTGATATTAAACCGCAAGGCCGCAGTATTGTATGGTTACAGTTGGGAGCTAGGAAGTGGGAGTTATGCAGTTAGTGTTAAGCCAATATGATATTGTCATTATTAAAATACCTGAGTACAATGATTAATCATTTCATTTGAGGGCGGGGATGAATATAATTTATTTATTCGGACGTTTGAACGTTAATGTCTTCGTGGATTTTTAAATTTTATGAATTTCCAGGAAAACCGTATCTAGACGTTCGTTAAACGGATAATCGCGATTCCGCGGGTATTCATACGATCTCGAAAACCGAAAACGGGAGGGGAGGAGGAGGAAAAAAAAGCACACCGTCGCGAAATTATTAATATAATCGTTCTGCAAAATCTAAAATTAGCGACATCATAATGTTACATAATAATATATATTATTAAACTGCACTCCTCGAGTATAACGCACTCGTAAATTATTGCATACTTGCAAGGTAATCGTTTTGCGCGGCAGATACGCGACCAATATATCACGTATAATATTATAACGTAAGTGTTTATTATGTTATTACACGTTATGAATAAATATGGGATTTTTAATTTACAATAATAATTCGTTTCGATCGCAGAATTTGTCGCTATAATACGATATTTAAATTTAATAACAATAATGATTTACGTTTGCGTTTTTCGCGTCGAATATACGCGGCTATAATATTGTTATTATTTTATACTAAAGACGATACGAAATATTATGTAGATGGGACACTATCGTCTTATGATATAGTACATACTACGCGTAATATCGAGAATATTATTATTAGTCAGCGTTAAATATCGCGTTACTACATCATATAATAGCGCCATAGAGGGTGTCCAACGCACGTTTTTAATTCGCCGTGCTCTTTTCGAAATCCGTGATTTTACTAAATGTATACTGTTATAATATAAAATATTTTGTATTTTTACGTAGAATACGACGACAATCGTATTTCGTATCGGAAATACAATCGGCGTAATACCTAATATTAAACTATTCAAAGAGTACAATGTAACGACTTCTATTCGAGAGGACAGTAAACGCAGTACGCGCCGTGCACTTTGTACCGTCTCCGTCTTTTCACAAACGCATCACGATCCATCAAATTTGCATTCGCCTAAAGAACACATTTTGTGCTGTTAGTTTTCATGCTTTAGAGCGAATTATCGACCTGTTATCGAACTTAAAGGAAATTACATTTTTTACTATTTATTGTATGTTTGTACGTTTTGGTTTTTTTTTTGTTTTGATATTTTTAACAGTTTAACGAGACACAATCGTTTTAAAAAATTGTATTATTCACACGCTTGTATCCCGCTTGAACATTAAATAAAAGAAATCAAACACAATGTTCTCCCATTTAAGTTTTATAATAGGCGAATATGCATTCTAATATTATAACCAACAGCAGACATTTGTCCCTACCAAGCGCAAACCCGCTATTTATTGTGCATCAACAAATGCATATTTATGTATAGCGTCCTCTTAAACGCCTCGAGATCTATTTATGTTCAACGCTCTGCAATTTCGAACGCAAATATGGATACGGCTTATGAAGAGCCTCAAAAGATTTGTAATCGGCTTAAGCGAGACAACATATTTTTTTTCCTTAGCTCGAGGATGGGGTCAGTTCTTCCTTCAAGCGTATCTGATAAGGAAACAACAAATCACTACATAATAACATTATAACACTTCAATAAATATTTACCACCGCTTCGCGAGATAATTTTGTAACAATCGAACAAATAACCCTAGTTATTGGCTATTGAAATATATTTTAACTTCTCCCGTGTTCTTTTGTTGTTCTGTTATCATGGTGGAAGAATAACCAGAGTCCATTATACTATGCCCCATGAGTATCCCTTGCCAATATGTTTATAAATGTTTTTCAAATCAATTTATACTATTGTCTAATACCATTCATTAAAAAAGAGATCAACCAAGGTTTAAAAACAATAAGGCTTGCAAAATACATTTTTAGCTTACGTTGCTTTTATTCTCTATAATAGCTTCCTAATCTATGATGTTATGAGTTTATGACTCTATTCTCATACCCGTGTCGTTTTAAATATTATTTTTTTATCCCTCGCTAAAAAGCGAATGAAGACTTTGTCTCCGCAATAAAACTCGCTATCCTTAATACCTGAAACCATAATCAGTTCGCTATTATATCAACTACCAACCTATACAATATACTACATACGCGGTCATGACAGCCAATATATTCGTCGTACTCTTCCTCTACAATTTTATTTTTACCAGCAACGTGTCCATGAATTTTCAATTGTAGGATGTAGTAAGTATAATAATCACGGTTAATGAATAAATCGTAGAATTTTCTTTTGGTTATGATACTTATATCTCGATAATGAGAATTTAATAGGCGGATCTAATGAGTCAATTTGTATTCGATAAATCAAGCTTTTTTCCCTGTGGCTTTTAGCTTCAATATATAATTTTAAGAAAAAGTTACTAAATAAATACGTATAGTAGTTGTAATATTTGGGCCGAGGGAGGCTATAACTCCTAATAGCGCACATGCCACTGACTCTAATAGCTTTTCTTGTAAGTCTTACTCGTTAAAGTATTTTAACGTACCTAACTTCAAATTATGTATATTACTTATAAGTTAATAACTTTACCCGCTGTACTCATATAATCGTATATTATAACTCCCCATAGGCGTAAATTCGAAAAATAAATAAAACCGAAGTGAAAATAATATATAGTACAAAATATTCAACCGTAGCTGTGCTGCTCGGAACGCAAGATAACCGATTTGTTCATCAGATATAGCAGAATATATTGCTGCAGATATTAAATTCGGTCAAAACGTTTTTATAAATACCTACCTACAAATCTAATTAATTCGCCGACAGTATTTTTTATTTATACGCACGCCCGCGGAATGTTATTATATATTCGAGTTTGTAGGTTATTATTATTTGTATCGATCGCGTATACCTATACATATATAATGCAAACGAAAAATACCGTAAAATCTAACGACTAACTGCATTAGGTAAATATACAAATTGTATTTGTTCGCTTATTTAAATTCAACGTAAGCGTACTGCACCTCGATCTAAAATAAAAAAAGAATATATTGTAATTTGGTTTTTATAAAATATGTGTAGGTAATATAAATATTTATTTAAATCGCGCACGTTTTATACATTAATATTAATATAGTATTAATATATATATATATATATATATATATATATATTATATATTATTAAACTTTCTCCGTGAGTTATAAAACATTTTTATATCGATAAAAGTAAAAAAAAAAAAAAAATGTTTATGTCATTTTCCAAATACATAATTTATAAGCAAGCGCACGAGATGATACGCGTTATTAAAGTGTAATATGATGGCGATATAGGTACCGCCTATATATATTTATTATTATATGTGTCACGTAAATCCAATTTTATAATTTAAAAAGATAAAAATATATATATATATATATGTTTATTATGTGGCGTATTTTTTTAATTTTTTTTTTTTGATTATATTTCGATTGAATCTATGGAAATGTTATGCCAAAGTCGTTTTTACGATACGAACAAACGTATAATATATGACGTATACAATATAGGTATTTAAAATTAAATTCGCAACGTGAATGTTTATAAAATTAAATTTTTACAGTTTAATTTAATAATAATTAAGTTCAAAATTATGTATAATGATTTAAAATGTTAATTTATGTATAATAACGATATTATAAAACTGAACGCGACTTAGTAATAATTACTTTCCAACGAAAAATTGACTACGTGAATACTTATTAATTATTAACTGTATAATTATAATTTATGAGTCGGGTTCTTATACAGCGATAGAATTTTACGTGCATTTCGACCGACAAGACGGCGAAAAATAAACATGCTTTTCTGGTAGTAAAATTTTAATTTTGAATTCTCTCTTAGCTTCTCTTTTCTGTATGTTTTGTAGGAATTTTGTAAGTTCATCATAAGATGCACTTGGTGATAGCAAAAATAATTCAGCGTAGTAATAATAATAAAACAATTTTTTTGGATAAGCGTTTTAAGTTAACATTTTTTAAAAAATTTCAAACTCGCAACGTTTCGACAAACATATTTAACCGAAATCGTTCAGAATCGTTTTTCATTCGTAACAATTTGTCATTACGTACAGTTATAAATTCAATAACTCTACATATCATACCTTCCCAACTTCATATCTCTACAACATGGGTACGCCTATAAACAGTATATTAGCTCTGATTTTTTGCTTGTCGTATTAACGTTTTCAAATATAAGTTAATTTTGAGAAGACGAGCAAATTATTATGTTATCTACCGTACTATCTACTACATAAACTATCTAAAATATCGAACAACTATATCCTGTACAAAACATAGAAAATAGCTGCTAATAAAATTACTTTTACTTTGGTTCTCTCAAGTAATATAAAGTGTCATATTTAAAAGGAAAGATAACATTAAGTATAGATATATCCCCCCTGTCTAGTTTTAGTTATAATATATGTTACTATCTATATTATTTAAAGTCAAATTACTTAAGTTTTTAGTTAATTTGTTGGTACTACCTAATAATTGATATTAAAAAAAACTCTGAACTTATACGTTTTCTTAACTTATCCTTTACTATAGTAAATAGACTAATAATAATTTTCAATGCCCATAGGTATTAGTTATTTGATAGCAATGATAATTTGGCAAATTGAATTATGAATTAGGTACTGACAAAAATGTGTAAATGAAAAATTAATTTTTTTAATCTAAGTACACGATGAAATAATAATATAGCACAATTTACAAATTCCCTTTATGGCGAAACCCTACACATGCCACTGATTTAAATATTATAAAATACCGTTTAAACTAAGTATGTATTTTCATCCTACAGCCGTTTAATCATTTCGAAATCTGATTTTTCTTTTACATAATTGTTTTATAATACTTACCTCCACAAATGCCCGAGTGTTTTACTGAGCTCGGCGTTGTGCAGTTGCGGATACTGATTGGCGAGCAAGCGACGAGCCGCTTGGGCCCAGACCATAAAAGCGTTCATCGGTCTTTTGACGTGGGAGTTTTTCTTCTCCGAAGGCGGCCTATAAACATGTTAATATATCGTACAATTAAAAAAATGTTTAACATACAAGACGAACAAAAAAAAAAAAAAAAAAAAAAAAAGGCAAATAAGTTTCCTATTTTCATCGGGTTTTTTTTTTAAAGCCAATTAGTATTTAGTAATAATATAGCCGTAGGACATAAATTATAAGAAAACTGATTAGCTATAAATTATAATTATCAGTAACTATAAATGCCCCCGCTATTATATATGACGTTGTACAATTATAAAATATAATATACGGTCGGGTTTGTTTTTTGTCATCTATGGTATATATTATGTATAGATAGATAGATAAATAGATACTGTATTTATTCAAATAATTAAAACGCTTGTCTCAAATTACAATAAAGTTTCGGTAAAAAAAAAAATAAAAAAAAAAAAAAGGCAAATAAGTTTCCTATTTTCATCGGGTTTTTTTTTTAAACAATTTCGTAGTACTTGTATAATATTATAGCACACGCACAAATTTAAGATTCGACCGCGACGACGACGACGAAAACGGTTCGGTTAAATTAATAAAATTGAAGACGTGACGACCGCGATAGGATCTTCCCTTTTGCAGCACACGATGATGAGTTTCGACCGAAAATACGCGCGTTGGTAAGTGTCCAAAACCCATATGTTTCCGAAAAGATACGACAAGACGTATAAACGTGCGTAATTTGTATAAACATTACAATAATTAAGTGTATATACCTACGCGATGGCTACGGTTCGTAAACGAAGGAACTACCGACAAATAAAAAAAAAACCGGTAAAAAAGTGTCGTCTCCAAAAAATTAAATATGCGATTAAATTATCGACTGCAGGTTTCTATGCACCTAATATTTTTTTTCTTTTGAGCGTACAGCGATGAATTTATTGGTTTTACTACCTACGCTGTAGTGTAGTTTTTTACATTTTTATGTAATTTTCATCTATCTGCGTCCGTAAACTACTTTTCTACACCGAAAATATTGCTCCGATAATCTACCTATTCGTGGCTGGTTTCTGGTATCGACATTATTCGTCAAGTTAATGCATTGGATGGGGGTATTTTTTTTTTTTTGTTTTTTCTTGTCGATTTAATAACTATCGTGAGAAAAAGTGGAAAAACAAGAATATTTATAACTAATGATGGTTTTTGTTATTTTCGATTTTCTAGACGCAATACAATTTTCAAAACATTCTAACGATTTTTTGCGTAATCCATGGCTATTTGAAGTTTTAGAGTTTTTGTATTCGATTTTAAATGGATAACATTTTTTCGGCTTCTCATAAAAATTCCCGTAAATTTGATTCAATAAGATCCATCAAAACGTACAAGTTGTTCTCATGACACTATAAAAATACTAAAACGCTGTATAGTCAGGACTTTTTTTTTTATTAACCTTTAAAGATAAAATTTCGACGAAAATCATAAAGCTCACGGCATTTCGCATACTATATTTTCGGATTTATGTGAACACGATTGTCTCTATAAAAATACATACCAATTTGAGACGAATACCCCGGACGACAGTTGTAATTTATTGTGTAGTAATAATACAATAATTTTTAATTTAAATTTAACAAAACGAGTCTAACCGAATTTTGCTCAGAACAGTTTTTCGTTAGCAGTGATTTATCGTTGCGTATAGATATAAATTAAATTATCCAATACGTCCTAATACCTTCCCGACATCCCACCTACAATAATGGCACACCCAGGCACTGTGAAATATAAAGGTCTTTTTTTTTTTTAGTGTATTTTTAGACAATTTTTACCAAACACACTCCTACTTTTTTCAAAATATATGTTATGTACAATAAATTAATTCGATTAGATTTTCATTAATATTGTACAGCCGAAAATATTGAAAAACCAGATAACGTGTCGAATATTAATCGAGATTTATCATATTAAACAGTTTTATACCGTAAAATTCGTATAATATGATTGTATTCTACCGGCTTTAATTATTATTATTATTATTTTTTTTTTTTTTTGTGGATCAATTACAGAATATTTATGATTTTTTTCTTAATAAGCAATAACGACAATGGCGCGGTTAGAATTGATATGTATACAACTTTACCATCTTAATAACGCGTACGAATCTCTTAGAAATAAAACTTATTTGAAAACAAAAATATCTATAAAAGCCTTATAGATTTTAAAATAATTTAATAGGTATTAATTGTCAATTTCGTTGTTTTAAATGTACTATTATATAGTTCCAACGCCGCCGGAATGAAAAACTCTTTAATCAAATTTATAATATTCACTCGCGTCAAGAAAATTCACGATTCGAAATGCTATAGCAGCGCTATCCAACAAATGTTTTTTGTATTTTTTGTAAACGCTTGATTTTAATATTAAAAATAAATCGTGAACGGAACTGTTGTTACAGTATCATATTATTGTAACAAACGTACTAAATTAGTTCATTTATTTTCGAACCCGGTTTTTTAATTTTTTTTTTTTAACACAATATTAGTACGTCGAAAAAAACGCACTTATGTATTATATATTTATATATATATAGTATAATGTGTCAATTATTAAAACTAAAAAAAAAAAAAACAGTCGATCTACTGACAGGTGTATACAGCAATTCAATTTATATCTGGGATAAATAACTGCTAACGAAAAACGATTTTGAACAAAGTAATTTTATAAACTTTTTGAAATGCCGCGGTTTTTACGATTTTCGCCAAAACGTGTCGACTTAAAATTTTAATCTCCAGAACGATTTGAAAACGGCTGAATTTAGAATAAAAACCTAATATTCGGTGAAAATTTCATGTTTCCACGGTTATTTTTAATTGAATTACAAAAAAAAAAAAAACCAAAATTAACGGAAACCGTTTTTTCGTTTTCACTATTCTTCGATGGTTTTTCTCGATTGTTGGCGAGATACAGCATACGGAAAATTAAACAAACGATCTCTCGTGACCGAAATGCGCTACCGGAAAAACCTAAAATGTCGATGATCGGAGCGAGATAATATCTGGCGAAGAACATTTTATTAACAGGCAGAAAAAATACCCGATAAAACATTACTCTCGAAAAGTCTAAAATACAGTAACAAATCGTATTTTACTCAATGGCTCGCGCGTACGCCGGAGCGTTTTAATGAAAACTTCAAAAATACTTCGGCTCCCGGGTCCCCTTTTCGCCGCGTTATTTACGAACTCCCGTGATGACGGTTATGATGATGACGGCTTATCTGCGGATGGTTTATGATAAACAAAAATTTGCCGACTAGGGCGTTTTTTCGAAATATATTATTATATTGATCATCCGCCGCGCACAACACGGCGGCGGCGGTGACAGATAAAATTAACAAAAATATTTCACATATTATAATGTTTTCGTTTTTTTTCTTTTTTTTTTTTTTTCTAGATTCGTGACGCACCGGACCCGTAGGCGTCGATCACAAAGACCGTACCGCTATCGGCACGAAATAATATTATAGTTATATATGCTGAATATTTGTATTACGATGATATATTTTACACACACACACACACACACACGCATACATAAATAAATTATAAGCAGTAAAATAACGATAGAACTATTGAATTAGATTCCCCGTCCTTGATGACGGTGTTATATGTATATGCGTGTCTTTAGTAAGGAACTTCCGGCCGTCCCTTATCTTCCGGTGCGGTGTACACGATAGGACGAACGCGAATAATAAATAATTATTAAAAAAAACCTATTTTTTTTTTTTTTTTTTTTTTTTAAAGCCGCCAATGATGACGGCAAAAACATTCCTTTGCCGGTATAATATTATTTATCTAAGCTCGGAGTATTATACTTATCGAATATTAAACGTATACGTATATATTATTATTATTATGCGTCTTCTTGCAGATATCGCAAATATGCGTTACACAAACAATGTATATATATATATATATATATATATGCAAAAAAAAAACCGTTTATCTATATCCGAAAACGGATATCTGAAAAAAAAAAAATCCGATAAAATAATACAATTTATTTTGCGGCGCGTCAAGTTTTAACGATTATAAATACACGAGAACTTGTTATTGGTGGCATCGTAAAATCATTTCAGATTCGTTCGGTAAGCTTATCCAGGAATTTCCATTGGGGAACGATATATGCAATGAATAATAAATTAGTGTATAAATCTTAGAATCCTCTTCTATATAATATACCGATCGAAATTTAAAAGCCGGATTCAAAAAACCCAACTCTTATTTACCAAATCAAGCATTACGCCTAACTCGGCTGCAATACACAATTTTAAAATTAAATTATCATACAAATATTCATGGTCGGTTGTAATTTCAAGCTAACGAGTGCAGAGATGGTGATGGGGATGGGCTAGGGGGGTGTACACCCTAATTTTCTCTTCTTCGCGCTAGGATTCGTTTGCCGAGTACTCCATTAAGAATAATCTCTAAAAGTCGATCAAGAATTAATCGTATTTAATTATGTTAAACGTAAACTGAGTGACGTGTTATTTTATATATAAAACAAAAATTACGAATTTGCCGAGCTTAAAACTTTTATAATATAAATAAATTATTATAATGACGATAATTTTGTGACAAAGTTAATGATTGTATTTTATTATTTTTTTGCCTATGGAAATGTTAAAATATTAATTATTTTTCGAACAATTAATAAATCAATAACAATACTTTTCTCGCGGATTAAAAATATTATATAATTCAATTTTCAGCTTTACGAAATAATTTGATTATAAAAATGCTCTTTTTTCCGTCGTTCGATATTACGCGAGTGGCGCCGTAGTGCATTCCCACATTTTTGTGCTAAATTTTCGAAAAAACGGTAAAGATAAGAAAAAATACGTTTTATTTATTGGAAATACGGGGTATTTTTTTTTTTTTTTTAGTTAGGTTTTAAACATTACATTTTACAAACGCAGCACTCTGTATATTACTTTATAATCTATAAACTAATATAATTTATCTGTCGTGAAATAAATACATGCATAATAATACGTTCAAACCTTAGTTATGTATATACATACTAGCTGAGATTAAAAACGGAAGTTAATATAAATATTATTTTTTTTATTTTGAATATTTTACACCGAGTTGCAAAATAAATAATATTATAATAATTATACGTTTTATAGATAATATCGGCTCGCCTGTCACGAATTATTAATTTAAACATTTGTTTCCCTTCTCTCAACCCCAATATTCGAATATATTATAATAATATTTATTATATTCGAACGAAACAGTCAACATATTCCTACATTGTAACAATATTTGCAACAAATAAAGCGATGGCGTAGGTATAGGTTACTTACCAACAAACAATGGATATTAATCATTGAACGACGACAGAAACTCCTTTCGCAGTTTACGAGTTTCTATAATTTTTTTTTTTTTTTTAGAAAAACGGCTACTAGTCGGGCATTATTATAATATTGTCGCGCGAGTTGTTTAAAATATTATTATGAACTTTTCTGCAGCAGAAATGGCCAGATTATTCTCAGTCGGTAGTAATAAAGTATACAAATTACTTTCGCGCTTAAATTTAATGAAAATCTTACGTGACACTTAAGACGCCACCGATTTATACTATGCGTTAAAACTCGGTGACCCTTTTAATCTCCGCGTTATAGCGCAGCAGTAATACATATTCTCCGCCATTGTGTACATTAATTATATAAACTGCGAGTATTACGCACAATCCCGTCTCCATCATTATTTTGTACTTAAACATAAAACAATGTACAAGGTATCAACGCGCGTGTAATTATGTATATAAAAAACTGAGAGAGGAAAAATAAGAGCTGACATTGCTGATGGGTGTGCTGCTGCTGTGGGTGAGAAGTTAGCAAGGGAGGATACATAAAATTATTTAACTTATATCTGTACGCGACGATTAATCATTTTTGACGACGTTCGATTAAACAATATTGTATCCATATAAAATTGAAAGAAAACAAAATTTAAAAACCTCAAAAATATCAATTTTACTATGTCTGGAAAAGGCTAGTATAAATATTTTGTGAAATTTAGGGTCTTATAATTATTTTAAATTGAATAACAACAATAAAACAAAATCGAAAAATAATGAAACCGTTAATGCTGTAAATTTTCCCGTTTTTCCTATGTTTTATCCCGATTTTTCCCAACTATAAAAAAAAAAACTACAAAAAAAAAAATCATAAACCGATCTCTCAATGCAACAACTAGACATATTTTGATTTCAGAAAATACGCCACACTTGAAAATCGAAGCAAGATTTCTAGTAAAAAATGTATTTACAGGCAGAAAAAACATATAATAGTTTTACTATTAGGGACATTCGCTACGTTTAGAATCAAATCAACAAAAATAGTGAACTATTAATTTACAGCGATATAAAGTAAACCCCCTATAAAAATGCAAATTCAAATATCATATCATATTATACTATTATACTATACTAGAGTATACAATTTTAAATTATAAAAGTTCAGATTTTACATTGACTTATTGATTTTGTGTTGAGTTATAATCAACAAATTAAGTAACAGTGTTTTTTTAATTGTAAACAATTAAACTTTCTATATTTTTATCGGTGATATAGAATAAGTTTTTGTTATAAATTGTATATAAAAAAAAAAAAAAAAAAAAATTGTAACAAAATAATCATTTCTTTAATGGTGATTATTTAAGGGAGCTGCAGGGAATCTGGGAGAGCTATACTGTTATAATCTCCTTAGCTTCCTTATTTCCATTCTCGAGATTCTTCTTTCTTGTACCATTGTATAAGAAATGTTTTCGTTAAATTTTCCTAATGGTCATGTTTCTGTAAATAATTACTTGAAAAATCAAAGCAATACTATTTATAGATGATTTTTCAACTTTTTCGTTTTATTTAAGTAGTATAGTCGTTTTCGATTCAACCGGAAAAAATAAATCCAACATAGTGTAAAATTCTTTAGTACCTATATAGGTATCCATAATTTTAAAGAATATATATACATTGACGTAAACGACGTATATTATGATGGGTTAAAAAGGAGAAAAATCGAGAATCGTTTATTTAAACTATACCGGTATATTACACATATAAAAAAAAGGTTAGAAGTGTTCGACAAGGGATGAATTTAAGTGTTACGTATCTATTTTCGTGTCAGACACCGTTACAGCGGGTACCTTTAGTTTGACACCAACTTTTTCACGCACATTGTCGTCGTGTGACACTATCTTCTTACAGCTATCGAAAACATAATTCTTTAACTTCATTCCAGTCGATTTTGAGTTATTAACTCTATCCATCACTACCATCACTATTTCTGTATGAAGTTTTTTTACACCTATTTGTATTATTAATTTCGAAAAATCTTACTAAATATAACATACACTTATAATTCTGTATTACACTGACTATACAATATTATTTTATAATTGAAATGCATAATATTTAGTTCCGTACAACACAAAAAGATCATTATTTTTTAACAAGGCATAATTTTTGTTAAAAAAATTGACGTGATTGGACATTAAAAAACGACGTGCAGATTTCGAGATTGAAAAATTAAAATTTATAGTATTTCAAATTCGCACCTATACCGGAATTGTATAAAAAATAAATAAAAAATGTATAGTGGATGATAGTATATACATTTCTATTTCGGAACTCGTTTCAACAACTGCTGCAGCTAGTGAACTGTATAATAGTGTATATCTGTTTTTATTTATGAATAAGTTATACGTAAGCAGCGAGTCGATTTATAATTCAAACTATACACCGACGAGAACTTTTGTATCGAATTTGGCCATATGCAGTTACGCGTTTGCAAACATCGTAATAATATTTCGCAAAGGCAAAACACATTACCGAATTTTGGATTTATTACTCGGGGCAAGTACGAAAATAATACTATAAATAAAACTAGAGACTACAATAGAGTGCCCAGGAATTTTCAATGGGCGGGACGTAGCAAATATTAATCATACAAAAATCGAAGAATTATCTTTTTTAATCAACTGGGAATTTAAGAACCGGATCTAAGAAAACAGCGTTGATTCATTGAATCAAATACTCATTGCGGTGGTATTGAAAAACTAATGGTAAGATGGATATGATCCCTAACTTCCTTTTTTTTGCGTACGCCAGTGATGTAAAGAAACTAGATAAATAAATACATAATCCATCTGAGAATAGGTACTAAAGGTTATTATGTCTGTAAAAACGACTTGACGAGTATAACTCGTTTGAGTATGCTCACCATTTGTTTACCCGTCTTCGGAATAAAAGCGAGGGTAATGTGTTTATCACTTATATATTTATATTTGCAGATCGCAATCGCACCTCATTTAGGCAGACTTTAGATATATATAATATTTGTTCACAATTTTCAGCGGAAAAACGAATCCCTAAATTGGTTTACCAACGGAACAAAAACAATATGCGTACGTACATCGTATATTTTTTTTTTTTTTTAGCTTAAACGTATACGGTTCATTCAACAATACATTATAACCGCGAAATTTCCTATATTAATTGAGAATGGCTCAAGTCAATTTTACATAGTTTTCAACACAGAAAAATTAAATTTTGAAAATACTTATTCCATTCAGACCCAAAATAAAGGGGGAAAAGATGAAAAAAAAAAATTGGGACCAAAGATATAATCCGTTCGTAATGTACAATGTACGTGCTGCGTTTTACATGCGGTATTGCGGAAACGGACCGGTAAAGACAAACGGGTTCAAAACCGAAACAATAATTTATACGCAGAAAATAACGTACTTGGCGGGCACCGGCACCAGATTCCAATCGTATCCTTGCAACACTTTGCTGACGGCGACGTTTATCGGCACGTTGTCTTTGAGAGCTTTGTTCATGGCCGCCTTGGCCGCGGCCATGCCGCTGGCCGCCGCGCTGGCCGTAATCGTCACCACCGGTTTGCCGTTTTGTTTGGTCTGTTTCACCGGAATCGCGTTATTCTGTTCCATGTTCGCGGCCAAACGGTTTTGTCTTTTTTTTTTTTTCAATTCCTCTATTGTTTGAAACCGGATGAAAAAAAAAACAAACAAAAAAGATCGGACAAATCGAATGAAAAAGAATATAATAAATTTAATCCGTTCGGTTAAATGAATTAACTAACGAACGTGTGCGAGACGAGAAAATGTACTGTCGGAGAGATCTCGGCCGCCGTCTATCGTCGTCGTATAGATCGTATCGTATAGATCCCTAGCCGCTGGCGCTGCAGAGTATTACTCCCACCGTACGTTTGCAGAGAGAGAGAGAGAGAGACCAGGCGGAGCGTAACAACAAAACTAACTCGGACCCCTCTCTTAATTATTATAAGTATATCGCATTTTTGTATACGGGGCATTAAGTTTGATTTGTTTTTTTTTCGTTTTTTTTTTTTTTTATGTTTATATGTTTTTCTTATAGTATATTATTATATTACGTATGAATATTCTTGAAAAATCCGAAGTAAAAAACGAAACGAAAGTAAAAAAAAAAATAAATAAAATAACGTATATATTAAAATAGAAACGCGCTACAAATCCGCCACGCGATATAGGCTCGAGAGATTTATTCTAACAAAAAAAAAAAAAACACAATATTATAAACTTATGTCTACAAAAATAAAAATGCATAATATATTAATATTAATATTATATTCGACAAAAGGCCGGATTTAGACTTTCGGATGCCCGGAAAAAATCTCTTTTTGAAGTCCTTAGCGTTAAAAGAATTTAAAAATACCCAATATCTAAGTAGTTAAGGAAAAAATTAAAAATTTGCAAACTTGTACGTTATAACTATCTACCTAAAATGTGTTTATTTCCAGTTTGAAATACTGCTGTTCGTATATCACAAATTTAAATATAGCAATATTATAATAATTTTAAGAGTAAAAATAATTATATTAATCTCATACAATTTTGAAATCAAATCTTCACACTGTTAAATTAATTATTTCAAAACAAAAAAGATGGACATACTATGCATATGGATGCAGCCACTGTTGTTGGTGAGAAGTTGGGAAGATAGGATATAGAGGAGAAATTAATTTGTATATGTGTAAGTAACGATAAACCATTGCTTACTAAAAATGATTCTGAGCGGAGTTCAGCTGATAGTGATACTTTGTCAACAGTATATACATCATATTATGGTAAAATAATTAAATAGACATTATATATTTTCTTTAATAATATTTGTTTAATATTATACCGATTTTCCCGTTTTCCTACGTTTTTCCCGGTTTTTCATATTTAATGTCCACTAGAATGTTTATACGTATATACTAAAATATTTTGTGTTCACTGGATGTCCCATTGTTTCGTGAAATCTTGACGTATTAATTTGCAGCCCAAATCATATAAATACAAATCTATCTTTATTTTTAGGAGTTGATATTTTTTTTTTCATACATTTCCTAAACCAAGAATCAAAAAGTTTTAAATTTTTCATATAGTATTCCGGCATCTAGACGCCCTCCCCCAAATATCCGTTTCCCGGAGCAAACGCCCTTAAAACCCTCCATCAAATACGGCCCTGAATTTTGACAGTTTTCTGTCATTACCTTTATGGTACAGAAACACAAATAACCTAACCCAATCATTAACCTAACTTATATAAGTCAATATTAGTATAATAATTTTAATAGGTGATATATAAAATACGATGTATGAGTTTCGGTGGTGTATCCGGGGGGGGGGAGGGGAAGTTATAACTCCCTCAAAACATGATACTTTTTTACGAATTCGACGTAAAACGTATAGTTTCATAATTTGATTGCAAACCTTTCCTTATAATTGTGTGCACTTGACCTATATAATGGTATACTGTCCTAAAAATCTGCCCAGAAATTTGTTTTAAATCAATTTACCCTTCCCCCATCTACCGAAATGAATCCTTATTGCACCACTGACGGGTTCTAAATTTAAAATCTGTAAGCAATAATATAATAAAGTGTGTATATTAATTTATTATTTTAACGTTTTAAAAATATTTATAATTTATCATAAAAATATTATTGTTATATTTTTATAATTGTCCATTTATATACACAATGATATTTACTATACAGTTTACAACGGAGAAAGAAAAACGGAGTATTCACTCATAATAAGCATACAATATTATATGCAAATATGAAAATTGTATTTTCTATACCCACTTCAGATTGTTATAATATAAAACAGTGTTAAGGATTGAACAGTGAATTAATTAAAATATTTTTTTTGCCAGTTTTGTTTAATATAATTTAATTAAGGTAAATTATAATATTTCATCAGTATCTAACCCTACAGCAAGGATTTATATTATAATGACCGACCCAGCACTTATGTTCGCCTATACGTTTAATTTGATTAATTAACCGCATTGAATGTTATTCTTTATAAACTTATATTCTATGAAGATTATTAATCATTTACAATGATGTAGGTTTTTTTTTTAAGTTCCAACGAAATTACCAGGTATCGTATGAAGCGAAAGCCCCTTTATTAAGATAAGAAAAAGAAACTGAATATTATAGGTATACTTTAACAAATAATAAAGGTTGTTATCACATATTTTCCAGTGCTGCCCTGGCGAAATGACTAGTAGGTAGCACAAAAACTAATATGTAAATCGATATTTTAATTCTGAGCTCTATACTCTATGTACCTATGCTTACGCTAAGAATCGTTTTTGAATTGTAAAGATACAATGATTTATCGTTGCTTTCAATATGATTTTTTTATTTCAAAAAAAAAAAAAAGGTTTTTGTAGTATAAGTATCCCTTTTTTTTTTTAATCGATTTTTTTTTTATCCACCTATTGATAAAATTCCATGTCACATTTTAGATATCAAGAGGAAAATAAAACAGAAACACTCAATACACAGCAATCGCTCTTTTATACACTATAGTAGTATACTCGTATATAATAAATCGATATTTTAAAACTGAACGATTCAATCCACACCCAAGTTCATTAAGTTAATTAATTTACTTAATAATTAATTGAAATATTCGTGTATATAAATTATCATAGTTTGATTATCCAGACGAAGATGCTGGCTGAGTGAAACGCTTCGATGAGTACATTTTAACTATTGCATTATGTCTCAAATTTTAATTAACTGAGTATTATAATATACGATTTCACCTTGCTACCGATAAAAAATATTTTTTTACCATATTATATAATATTATGTACATCTTTGGTCCCAAGGAAAAATAGCTTAAATCAATGTTCGGTATTTTTTTTTTTATAATTTTGTCTTATGTAATTGTTTTATTTTTATTTTTTTGACTTAATGGAAAAAATGTTTGCATATTATAATACGTGCTGAAAATTAAAATATTTCAAGTGACTATATGATATATTTTTTATTTGGAAATAAAACATGACTACCTATGACTTAATCAATTTTAATAAAACAAATATTTGATTATTGATTCATTATTAGATCTTAATTACCTTTAGTACTTTGTTATGATTTCTTTGAAATTAAAAGTTAATTGGAAATGTATAGAATCTAAAAGGTACGTCATGATCATAAAGATTTAAGTCAAATGTTATAAATTAATAACGGCATAATTATCTTGTTACTATTTAATATTTGCATCATTAAAATACCATACATTTATTTGGCACGATGAAAAGCTAATAATAAAAATATATTTGAGGCGAGAATATAAATATTTAATTTCCATTCGTAAAGATTTTCAAAATTTGAATTTTCTTATATTGGAAAAATGAAAACTATACACCATTGATTTAAACACTTCTTCCCGGGGACCTAAGATAATATATAAATGGTCACAAAATGAGACCTATCCGTACCGCAAGATTTCGGGTTGAATAGATTAAATGCAGAGTTGATTTTGTTACAGTATTTTTGATTATTTTACTTTTATACGAATTAGAAGTCAATTTCACTAAGATATATTTTTTTTTTCTGTTAGTGAAAATACTTTAAATCGTCCATACCGTACCTTCAAAGATACGGGTTTATCGCCCGATGGTATTTTTTATTTTTTGAAACGTTCGAATTATTTTTGTATAGAAAATAATGCACGTTATTATTATCACTGGTACCCAAATTCGACATGATTCTTTGTAAAAATATTATGTTTAACACGCAAGCACAATACAATTTTGTATTTTTATTTATTCCGATTTCGAGGTCACGAACATAATACAGTTGTCGTTTTGTATATATTTTATACGAGATCAATTGCTAGGGACCATCTATATCTATACGATTTCGAATTGAATTATAATATTATAATATATTAGGTACCTTCACCCAAAGCAGTATAAGTAGGTACTCGTTATAGAAGCCGGGGCGCCATGTTGTTACATAAATATTTACGTAACACTACGCGGTTTATATACAGGGTATATTTTTATTTACAATAATGTGATATTTTATCGCGTGTGGTTAAAAAAAGAATAAAAAAAAAAACAAATCGTATACCAGCTATATTGTATTTTAGACGTGCGTTACTATCATCGTATTATATCTAATTGTTGTTTATATTATATCGATTCTTCAGGATGTTATTATCATTGTTCTTGTTGTACCGCGGTTATCGAAAACCATCCGTAACCAATCGCGGACCGCATATAATAACAATAATAATACGTGTACAAACATTTTGTTTGTAAATGGTCCTTGTGATTCATTCGGGTTGACACATTAGCGTATATTATTGTGTCTATATACCATATACCTACTAAAAATATTTACAATAATGCCTTATAAATATTACGTCTTTCCGGTCGTTACATCATTATAGTTTATATTCATATTTTTGATCGTTTATTATATTTAGGCGCGTTGTTTTTTTTTTTTTTTGAATCCGTGTCTTATGTAGATGTAATTTTAAGTATTGTTTATTAGTTTGTTACTATCTCGTCAAAACAAATATCGTCGAAATAAAAAAAAAAAAAAGGCGTTTTTAATCAATTTTTGACTATCATATATACTATACGTATACATTCGCTATTAGATCACTAGCCTGCACAACTGTGTATAAGATGATCAGTGATGGTCTTGTTCACTTGTTGATTTTATGAAAATTATTATTATTACTATCATTTACATTTTAGTGATTTGTCTT